CGATATGGAGAACTAAATTCAACAATGTTTTTCTCTTAACCCAATCATTGAAAACATTCTGTAAAAACACGGTATTTTATGTAATGTTGACTGATTGACAACAATTTAATTCGAAAATTATTTAGAAATATTTTTTATAACTGTTTTGTTAATATTTTTTGTTTTTTAAGTGCAATTGTTTGTGCTCCTTTTAGGCCAAGCAAATGGGCTCATAAAAGGCCCAAACATCCCCGAAATTGCAACAGTTTTTGAATTAGTCTTATATTATGTATTAATATCAGTTGAAAAACATATCAAAAATGTAGAAAAATGTATGCAGTGGACAAATATGAAATTTCACTTCCTAGGTACCCCCTACAACCCTACCCCAAAATTGAGTATTGGTAGGAAACAATTTTTTCTTCCCAAATCGAATACTTTAGTCAAACATTCAAGCTTTATTACGATAGATCACAGATTCACAAATAATTAAAATATTGTTTTGATCATTTTTGAGACCAGTAATTGGTCATTTGACCCCAAAGTATAACAAAATAGGCCACAAAACAAGCATGTTATCACATATCTATTTAGATATTTCGGGATCAGTTTGTCAGAAAAACATGAAAAAAATCATGGTGTTACATATTCATATGAATTTCATATTTGGTGAGTATCAGAATTTTAACGTGTATACTTAGGAAGAAAATAATTATTTCTTTTTCATAGTTTTGCCCCGCCCACTATAGGGGAGACTATAGTTTTGAATATCTATTTAGATATTTTAGGATCAGATTGTCAGAAAAGCATGAAAAAATCATGGTGTTACATATTCATGTGAACTTCATATTTGGTGAGTATCAGAATTCTAACGTGTATACTAACGAAGAAAAAAATTATTTCATAGTTTTGCCCCGCCTACTATAGGGGAGACTATAGATTTGATGACTAACTCCCACAATGCATCACATTTGTATTAGATTTGACATCTAAATCATTTATATAGGCTTGTCATCATCTAAAATACAGGTTTTGTGAAGGTTTATACCTTATTAGTATGAAAAATAGAAATTATTAGATGCACCAGGTGAAATGTTAAGGTGGCCTCACTTTTATTTGATGAATAATTACATATCACCACTCTGATATTAGGGTATTTGGTAACTGCTCTATTCTAGGCTTATCTAAATAGTGTACTGTAGTGTCTGTGGAATTTAATATTGTTGAAATTATTAATTACAATCCGCAATTCGCATATATTTAAATTCATCAGTCAACTATCAATTGGATGTATAATGCTGTAGAAACGAAGGTAATTTAAACTGATAGAGCACATTTAAATCTCAGATATCTGGGGAGTCTTTCATTAATATAATTTCAGTGCGTAGGAATGATGGTAATTCTGTTTGTCAGGTTGGAAAACATTGAGTGTATATGTGCTACACATTCAGAATGCAGATATTGTGATTGTGAAAACTGCAATCCAAAGTGTCCAAACCTCAAATACAGTACTCATACAGATCTCCTTGTGCTTCTCATTTATCATGCACAAACATTTTCTTCAAACCTGAACCAAAAGCAGCAACCCAAGAAACAAAATGTTGGAATATAAATGAAATAAGATTGTCTTTGGGAAAAGTGGTCTGTGACAATATTTTGTTTATCCATGCTTTTCTGGGGTGTGACACCTCATTCAGGTTACACCTCATTCAGGTTATATATGGTGGTGATTTTTTGTTCAGCGAATGTAAGTATTACCTTTTGCTTGTATATGTTCGGGTGTTAGTGAAACATACTTTTATTATTGTGTAAACAACAACCACCAACAAAAACGTTCTAAAAAGTATGATCATTCTTATAAATACATTATAATCCAAGTTTTACTAAATGAATACATGATTTCGGTTTTGTGACAAAAAGTATTTACTATATACTTTGATATTGTACATTTGTATTCCTCCTAATAGGTAGCAATCGTGTAACTAAAATGTTATGGATTCACCTAATGCTTTTTTTCATTGCAATGTGAATAATCACTGGAAATGACTATCCAAAGTTGGTTAATACACTGACGTGTCGCAAAAAGGTGGTGCATTTGTTTTTTAAGGGTATCGCGTGAATGTAACTTTGATTCCCCGGAATATAAGATAATATTCTAATTAAAGTTATATATCATTTTAAAGCTGTTTCAATGAAGATTTTAGATCAACTACACTCTGTTCACATTTTTTGCGCGTTCGTTTTTAAAAAAGAGTTTTTTACTAAAATATCTGGCAAATATCCCATGTTGACACGTTACATTTTGAATTATTTTTCGTCTTTAAACGCTCATAACTCAAACAATATATGACTATAATACTTATTTTTCGTCTTGATAAAGGTAGATGGAAGTTTTATTTCAAAGGATGAATTTTAGTAAGCGTCCCATATTGTGACCTCATAGAGTCTGAAAAATAGAATCTGTTGACAGCGACCTTTTTTGCTCATTTTTTGGTACCCTCAACTTTTCAGGTGTACATTAAACAAAAAATACGAGATCAATTTTTAATAAATCATACATGATTATTTTGCTCCTAAACTCTAGTTTATTAATAATTAGTTGATTTTGTTCACAAAAGTATGTGTTTTCTGTTGTATGTGGAAAAGTGGAGGACGAAAGGTTTTCAAAATTCATTAAAATAGGGCCAATTTACGCCATTCGCCTATTTTCAAGCACAGCAACACGTATATTTATTTCACCTAAAATATCAATTGATTCGTGTTTTATGATGCTCCTAGCCCATTAACAATATATATATGATATCAGAGCTATTCGTCTAAAATGTTTTGAGATATAGAGGTAAATGTGGAGGACGAAAGGATTTTCATGTGTGTACATTTTTCTCAAGAACGTCACATTCTATCATGTTAAAAGCGAGAATCGTCTGGATTACGCCACAAAATGTGTAACAATGCGTGCGCGAGCTTTTTGCGACCCGTCACTGCATTTGTTATCATTATTTTTCTAATTTAAACAAAAAATACATACAGAAATCCTCGTTACTTTATGATGCTTAAGTTGAGATATATTTTTTCAGAAATGTCTTCAGTAACTGCAGGAAAAACATAGCCCATCAGGTTTTCCTTAGTTGAAACTTTCCTTTTAACTCAAAAATAATATATTTTCCTTCGTTTGTAATCCAATATGTAAGTTGCTATATATGACCATGGGCACATTTCTGATCAATGAAAAGTTTTACAATTTAAAAACGAATGGTTAATTTTAAGACCATGTAAGTTTGCTTTGCTGTACATATTCGTATTATATTGTACATATTGAAGTTTTGTTTGATATTCAGAATATAGACACATATTACAGAAATATAAAGTATTTCATATACAAAAATAATTGATTGGATCTAAAGGTTACGCAATAAACTAGATATATATGTAGTAACGGAGGTTTTTTATGCCTTATTCCAATAAATTTTGGTCGACATACAAAATGCCATATCTTGAAAACAAGGAGGAGATTGTTGAAAATATTTCACAGTATTATCTATCAATATATGTTCTTTTGTCTCAATAAAAAATAATCAGTGCTACTCTTACTTCAAAAATCAGATTTTTCAAACCTGAATTGAGACATTTTTTTGAATTTGGGTGATTATCGCGCGCTAACTTTTCTTAAGAGATTCAAAATGGCTGACATGACTGAGCTAACAGGTCCAAAACCTAATCAGATGTAGAATGAAGTAAGTTGAACAAGATATTAAAGTTTTAAAAGCAACTGTGAAGCCGTTTTTCTTAAAGTTTGCGGACAAGGATTTTAGCATTTGACTTCAAAATGGCAGACAGGAAGTAGGTATCGAGTTAAATTTTTTTCATCCACATCTGTAAGCACTTATAAGTTATCCCTGAAAATTTGAAGGTGATATCTGTAGCGGTTTTGGAGAAAACTGCCGGACGTAAGGACGGACGGACGGACAGACAGACAGACGGACGCGCCTAGGCCGACAATATGGCCCCACACCATGTGGTGGGGACATAACAAGTATTTGATGTGTTTTCTAAAACAATATAGATGAAAGTATATATATATATATAAATTTCAAATCATAGTGTTACCATTCAAAAGATGACCATTAAATTGACGATGTGTTAAATTTTTTAGACTTTTAATGACTGGTTTAAGAGAAACTTGTGTTCAAAAAGTTCTCCATATCGATACCACTCCTTTGGGATATTTCTGAAACTAAGCCGCTTTGGGACTTCAAATATACTCCTATATTTGACACCTTAAATCAATAAAATTTTGAAAATAGTTAATTATAATTCAATGTATTCGATCATCACAAAACACATCTTGTTGATATATGAACACAAAGCAAATGTTGCGAAGCAATTTACATCAGTGTAAAGTGTGTGCGAATCTGTATTATATGATAGAGTGCGCAGATGTCCGTACTTGGGGACTATAAATAGGCTTGTAGATGTAAACTGTTCTACTTCATCATTGACCAGAGACATATAAAGGCATTCGTTATGGGCATAAAACCATGGGAAAGAAAGAAGAAGAAAGGTGCTTTAAAATGCTGTTTATTTGAAGCTTTTAGCTCAATAAAGGAAGTTGCCTCAATTTTTGTAAAATGTCTAATGAAGACCAAACAAAGTCCCGGATGTCTTGCCGTTTCTCTTTTCGTTTGGTACACAACTAAAAAGCCCTTGCATGAACCAGTATACCTGAAAAACCAACAGTGTACTAGTAAGGAACTACGGGTAGGTCTTACTCACTTCGAGAGCCATGTTAGATTTTGAAACTTATCTTCGAGAGCCGTGTTAGATTTTGAAACTTATAGCTATTATATCAAAATCCGCATAGCTTTCGCAGGAAGTAAGGTAGGTCACGATAGACACATTGTAAAATGTATAAGAATATTATTGATGCGCGCCCAATACCCTGCGTGTAGAGTCTAGTTAAATTACTGAAGACGAAGCTCTCTTTTAAGAAGTGAAGTCAAACGAATGCAAAGGGTACGCGCCCAACGAATGTAGGCAAGAAAAATCAAAATTAATCTTGGTAAAAACAAGTGAAATAATATATTTTGTCGATTAGTAGAAAAAACATTTATTTTTAATAAATTCTTTCTAGTAAACTATTAAAACAAACGACTGGCACAGAGTAATATTTTTATGTTAATTTAAGTGATACACAAACATGAAAAAACAGCTGAGATATTAATGAAGGTGTCATTTATTTTAGCAGAAATTGGGCATGGCACTTTTTTTTGAAATAGTCATTTATTGCATACAGTATATCATTATATGTTAATGTTGATTTGATTAAACGTAATGATATCAGATTGAATTACAACTCATGTTATATTAGTAGCTTGAATGACATGCCCTCTACAATGTATTGTATTGTATTTGCTTTGTTTCCTTCAAAATGAAGATTTACGTCAATTACTATGACAGTAAGTTACATTAATATATCAAAATAAAATAGGAAAAGAAGACTATTATACCATATATAAATATGTGACTTTCCTCAAAACATATGATTTGTACTTCCAGATGAAGTATTATGTTCAACGCGCGTTGGTGACGAATTTGTACATCATTCTATTAATGTATGTTGCGATTGTAATGCAACATATCAGAGCGTTCTCCAAGGAGAACTCGTAGAATTGTGTCATCTTCACTGTTAAGGAGTTCACATGACCGATATACAGAGATACAAGACCGTAGCCAGGCATGAGTTAAGTGAAGTACTTGCCTCGCCAAAAGATAAAATCACAGATACACGAGCGTAGCTCGGGATCGAGGCAAAAAACATTTAGGATTGAAATCTGCTTGTTGAACGAAAACATGAAATGGAATGTAATTACATGTTGATTTTACTTTGATTGATATATACATGAACACAATTAAGTTAATGAATGTGTTTATGTATATGATAATGCAAGATTTATGTAATTACCTTAAACTAAAAGGAAGAAATGCCGATCGAAACGCATAGGAATTTAAGGATGTTCCCTGGTCAGATAGGAAAATATTCAATAGTATTTAACTTTTTCTCAAAAATGGTTTTCTGGGATTCTCACGGGCAACAAAGAATATTAAAACTTTAAAAACCATATGTTAGTGTGCTTTTTTCTGAGCAAGAGGCCTCTAAAGTGTCAATATTTGACAAAAGTGGGCGTGGCACTTTCTCATTGAAACCCATGTTAAAAATCAGGTTTTCACCCCAAAACACACTTTTGAATATTTAACTTTTTCTTAAACTCACAGAAACACTTAGTTATGCTATGTACTTCACATTTTGAAAAGAAAAATTAGGGGTTGGTGTTCATCGTTTTCAACTTCGTCCAGGGAACATCCTTAATGCATTGAACATTGCCATTTTCCTTTGATTTTGTAAAGTTCGGTGAATTAAGTGCATTCACGTATTATTACAAAATCTTACGCCCGGAAATGGGATAGAACATGTCATTCAGATGGAGCGTTCTTTGGAAACTAGAAAACAGCCACTTTATGCACTCCATGGAGAATAGCAAATCCCACCAGGGAAGATTGATGTATGTCGTGATAACAAAATTCGAAGAAACTGAAATATAAAAAGAACATAAAACGTTTTATATAACTTCTTTTTGTATTATTATTATTTTAGTGAACCAAGACGTTGTTTCACGCACGTCCATTTTTCTTATGACCGGTCATATTGCCTTGATACTTTGCCAAGTGTGCCTCATAGACATCAGGTTTAGCATTCTCGAATCTTATATAAGAAGTTGTGTTGTTTTTTATGTGTTTGTTCTTCTCTAAAGTAGACATGATATAGTGGAGTTCCTCACTACTAGGACTGTAGTTCATGTTTCTTAGATTCACTCTCAGCTCCTCTAAAGGTGGAAGACGGTTCTCCACGCTAAATGTTCGTGTCGGTGTAGACATATCAGGGGTGCTCATTCCTATACGTAAGTTACTTTGGGAGTACTGAGTTTGCGCCCTTAATATCGGGGGTGAAGACATGGGGACATTATATCTATCTCCACTAACAGCCAAAAGAGGGCGGTTGAGATTACCCTTGGCTGTTCTTGACACCATTGAACCTTTGTAGATTTTTGTCCGATTTAATCTAGCCTGTTGTGGGTTACTAGAACGACCGTGTTTGGGTTCTAGAGCCAGCGTTCCGGTTGCTTCTTGGCCTAGCACACACCTTAAGTCCTCTTGTATCTCAACATTCTCTCTATTGAGAACTGATTTTTTGTCCAAAACCACCATCTGTCGTGTACCTGGCCTGCTATGCCCGTATACATATGTTCTCGTCGGTGCACTAATCGCACTTTTACTTCTGGAGTTCATAACTAGAGGGGTAGAATCAGCTGGTTCTGACTTTGTCGTTCTCGGTCTGGTAGGACGTCCTTTCTTTCCACGTGATAGGATCTTAGCTAAACTGTCACTGTATTGAGGTTCAGTTTTGGACTTGTCTATATGAGTTGGTTCGTCTATATTTGCTGGTTGTACCAAGATTGGTTCAAAGTACACGTTGCCATGATATCCCCTCCATGCCTAGAAAAATAGAATGGTAAAACTGTAAATGGAAAAATACTAAAATCTGAGGAGCGTGATTTGGATCATTACCAGAATAAACAACCGAGTAAGTACGGGATCGTTGAACTCTAGGTTAAAACCCCAAAGTACGATGAATTTATAAAGAATTTTACAACACACCATCGTCTAGTTTATCAAAACGTTTAATTCAATATTACTTGAAATGAAATCTGGTGCTAACTATTCAGTAGATTCCTAAATTTTACCTTCAGGGGCTTCAATGGTATGGGTGTCTTTTGTTGCACGTAGAAGTACTGCGGTATCCTATAACCAAAGGGAGGCTCTTTGAGGGATATCAAGGGGGTGTCCCTGTTTGCACCTTGGCCTTGTTGAGTACTTGTGCACCTAGCGGAGATGAGGGACATGGCCTCTTTGTACATTGCATCCTTTGAGACAGGAGCTAATCGCGAACCAGGTCTACAAAAACCGTTTGGAAACATGAAAACTACTTCATAGACAATTTGCAATATTATTTTATTCTAGTTTGTTCATGGTTTATATCTGACAGGCCTTAATGTTTACAAAGTACATTTCAGATCGATAGTGTTCAGTCCACGGTCAATGCCAACTAAATACACAACTGAGCACTGAGTATACGATTGAACATGTAGATGGGGAAGGCGATTATACTTTTCAATAGTTGTCATGACTCGACTCACCTGGATCCTTTTAATTCTGTCCACTCTGTGTAGTAACTGGCAGGAGTGTTAGTCTTGCCCCTGAGACCTGCCATGTGTTCTATATCAGTCAGACTAATGTGCACAGGGTTGTGGTTGCTTTGGATGTCATCTGGGTCCAATGTATTTCGCACGTGGTCTGCAGGATCAAACTCCTCTGCACAAAGGGGTTTAGTGTTAGAATCATGCTGGTCAAGTTGACCCAAACTCTTGGCCTGTTTTTCCTTCTTACATTCTTCACACTGTTCACAGTTGTCCGTTTTCATGTTAACATGGTTCAGTGGTTGATCGTCTTTATTTAAATCATTTTCTTTAGCATTGAAACCAACATTATTTGAATCGTCTTTTTCTGTGCAGTCATCTTTAGCTTTTATGTTTTCATTGTCCTTGTGTTTATTACTGCCGCTTCCACTTCCCTCAAATGTGGTATCGTTTCTTATATCAATACCTTCATCATCTGTATTTAAGTCTTCTGCTACAGTGTTATCCACATAAATACCGAGCTCCCTTTCCTCTGTGTTAGATGCGCTTATAGGTCTATTATCATCCTTCATGGAACCAACATTTGCATTATTTGTTGCATCAATCGTGTTGGCATCGTTTATTGTATCATTGCTGTCAAAATCATTGTTTCTGACATTGGATGAACTTACAGGTTCTTTCAAGTCTGTACCCAGTTTCTCATCCTCAATTAGGTTCCGATTTTCATTTGTTTCAGTGTCGTCGGTGTTGTCTTGGTTTATGTCATCCTTATTTGTTATATCTTTGTTTTCTTCGGTGTTTGCTTGTCCTTTTTTCTCCTTGCTTGTGTCATCGTCAACACTGGCCTTGATATCACCAGTAACTTCTCTTTTAATACGGTCATTTTCATCTGTCATTTCTATTGCGGCATTGTCATCTGCCGTATCACTCTCCGTGTTTAGAACTGATTGCTTGAGAAGTTCTTCGCTTGTGGCCATTATATTGTAGTTCCTGAACTCACATTTAAGTGTATATCCTGTACGAGTGGTAGGAGGGATTAAAATTCATATTCTGAAAAAACAGAAATCGTGTAAGGATATAAAATAAAACACAGTTTTTTCATCAGATATAAAGTTATACGTGACTTTCCCGATATCTACCTGGCTTCAGTTCTAATTACAGAGTTCGAATGCTGTCTCGTTTGGAAATTAGATCAATGATGTCGTGAAGTTAAATGTTGTCAAAGGGTATACAAGTCTTGGGTGACTAGGCTACTCATCAATGCCTACTAGCAAATAGAAACCATTCAGGACGATATAGATTTCCATTGGCAACCTTTCCATTGTACCTATAAAGACACTTTAGGTACACTCAACAATTGGCTTTCTTTGTGAGCAAGTAAGATTTCAATCAATATTTCTCGTGATCAATTTGATTAAGTCTATAGATTTGTCAGAATTGTTAATATTTGGTTGCAGTTTGAGGAATTGGTGAGCTCAATATTCATCAAATCCGGTTTAAACTGCAAATACAGAGGCCACGAAGCAAACGTTTGATAATCAACCAACATAAATAGGCATGTGAGAACCACTTGGGTCTGGGCAATAAAGAAAATAGTATATCTTGATGTGGTTTGTTACATTGTCTTCGTGGTTGTATATTTTAAACAAATATTTTTGTTTGTATTTGCCTGAATTTTTTCCTCGTCCAATCTCAATTATACAAAGGAAAGTTCTTTTCCATTAATATTGAAAAATAATTCAAACATTGCAAATATTTTATACGTGTACACTTTTGATTTCTTGAGATAACTTTCCAGAACGGTTGATGTTATTTTCTCTAAAATTGTCTGAAAATGAGTATATTCTTTACTTGTTCTTACACTGATCATGAAAACGAGTATTTTCTTCATTGGATGAAACAGGTTGAAAAGTAGGGGTTATTTGAATTAGCCCCGATTGATCAGTTGCTCGTCGAATTTAGTTTTCACTCGATCTACATGTAATCAAAGTAAGCTACTACGTCGACGGTACTCATAACTATACTTATAGTCTACCTATGAACAGATGAACGAAGAACGAAAGAAGTTCTCTATTATTCTCTTATTTTTACCAGGACAAACGGCTTGTCAAATCTCGGCGTTAACTTTGTCGGGTGATGCAAACCATCCTTAGAAAAATGGATCATCAACGTAAAAATTATGAATAAACTCAATAGGCCTATATGGACATTTTATATATGTACACTTTTGATTTCTTAAGATAATTTTCCAGAAGTTGATATTATTTTCTCTAGTCGTGAAAATGACTGAGTACTGTATATTCTTTATTTGTTCTTACACTGATCATGAAAATTTTCTTCACCTGGACTGAATTAATGTTTTTCATATATGACAGTGTCAATTGTTTCTCAAGTGAGTTGAGATAAAGTTCGCAGGTTACTGATTAACTTACCTGGTTATAATTTACATTGACTTCCTAGTTCAGCCATCTTTTATTCAACCTGTGTCGTTATAAACAACTTGGGAGTGTGTCTTATTTATTTTCTTCTTCATCCGATTACATATTTCTGTTGTTTTATAATAAAACACACGGTGTTATAAATATTATGAATGTAATCAAACAAGTGGCTTCTCAACCAAAAATTGAATTCTGTAAGTCATGTATTAAATTAGTTTTAATTATTTGACCTTATCGATGGAAGTAAAATACGACTTGCTCTGGTAAGGTAAACAAACATTCAACCTTTTATGTGTTAGAGTGAATACAATTATTAATAGATGGCGTATGTGTAGTAGTGGTAAGGTCGGTATTAAAGTAGGTTTATAAAAACCTGATTACCTCCAGCAAAAGGGAATCCCAGGTCGTGCTAATAACGTAATTTGCTGTTTCAGCAACGTACAGGCTGAAACAGCTCTTCCACGTTTATGAGGCATCGATCATTCACTATATTACAACGCCATATTACAAAGCATGGACCTATGGAGGATATAGCTCCATGTACAAAGCAAGCATACGGGCATACAGAGGTTGATTTCAGCTTATGTTTCGCTTGTCAGCAAGTTGACTTTACAGGAACAAGAGTAAAGTAGTGAAGGGGAAAGCAGATAATGCTAAAAATGAAGATTACTAAGCATATTGGTATATTAAATGGAATGAACGAGAAAGAAGAACAAACAGGGATTATTGACACAGTACCACAAGAATATCTCCATGACCAGCCAAAGGATGAGATAGGTGACAGTGATCCTAGTAAAATTAACGGTTCATCTACACTTAGCACATATATTGATCCTTTCGAGGAAGCTCGCATTGACCTTGAAGATCATCTCAAATCTAACAATGATCACTCGCCGCAATTTATTGAACACATCTGCTTCGACGATGATGACGATCTAACCGATGACAAAACACCTGACATAGTATCAGATAATATTGATGATATATTCCAATCATGGCTGAAACAAGTGAAAGAGTTAGATATTGAAAAGCTCATGCCTCTGGAAAATGACGAGGAGATTAGGCCTCAACAACTGATCGTTTCTCCGTGTGCTCCATTGCAGGGTTACAATCCCTGGCTGTTCTCTCCCTTCACACCAGGATCACAATGGAGTATAAAGAATTGTGTACACGGTGGTATACATGGACGCCCCGCACGAGAACAAATGTTGAAATATGATATCTTGGATGAGGCCTACGACACAATGCCAATGGTGATAACGATGATGATTATGATTCTGGTTGTGAAAATGGTTGCAAGTATAAAGCAGACAAAACTAGTGGCCGAGATGAAATTTCTTGCTCAGAACTTAACGTAAGGCCATCTGAAAGTTATACTTCGATAGAGGAGGGGAGTGGATTAATATGTAAAGGATCGCCTCCAGATTTAACTCGTATCTTGACATCATTGGACAACGCACCACCATTTGTAGCACCCCCTGTATGTGTGTTCAACCTGGAGAGGCTCTAATCCTGCAGCATTTCTACCATGTGAATTGACTTTACCACCACACCCGCATCCATATGGACCAGCATTTGCAGAAAGCCGGTTTGGAAATACGAATTTGGGAAATGCGGGCGATTTCAACAACGTAGGGAGTCTCAATATTAGCGCAGACTAGTCTAACACATTCTGATACTCATAGCATCTCTCTCTCTGTTGCATCGGAAGGATAGAGATGGAGAGGGCGCGGCTTACCACGATGAGTCTAACTAAACACGTGTAGCCATTCTCCTAAACCATTTTCGCACGCTCGGTCTTCAGACACGGCGTGAAGCAGTGAACGAAGATGCCCCTAGCCCGAGCATGAACTTACGAAATAATATCATTGAAAGGTGATAAGAAGAAGGCGCGGGGAACTCTAACACTGAGATGATTAGCCTAGCAAAGGATGGCCATGTTGGCAGCGATATTAGAAGAGAACATTAACATTAGAAATTGTTTATTGACTAAACGTGGAGGTGTATATATATATTTATATTTTATTTATTTATTGACACAACCTAGTAACATATTACATTAAATACACATACATGGACTGGTATCGTCGTAATATACAACCTGTTTTTTGCTAGATGTATTTTGAATGATCTAGTGATGTAATGTAGGCCCATCTCAGTATTTTATGAACGTGTGACACTCTTAAACTATATAATATCACACCGGAATAGCCTGACAATGGTAAAGTCAGATACCGTTGTCACTAATGGCGGACATAACCGTCGCTTCAATTAGATTTTCATGAACTGTATGTTTAATAGAGCACCTAGACTAAATTCCTTTGGGACAGCAATCAATCAAAGTGTTTATACTCATTGTACAGTTAATACTGTTGTACCATCGAAATAAAGACTTTAATTTAACCGATCAAAATGAGATACGGGACAACGGACAATGTATGACCAATATGCCGTTGTCTTTATAAATTATTTTGAATTCAGATTCCGTTGTCATTGACGATGTCGAAAAACGCTATATTGTAGCGATTCACGACCAAATTTGATCGAAATTGGTACTTCCTATGATATACCATCACAAGAGCTTATTACATGCACAGAATTAAGGACAATAAAATCCCATGAAATGAGGACCAAGTGATTTAAGAGTTGAAGCGACGGTTATGTCCGTCATTTGTGACAACGGTATCTGACTAAACCTTTGTCAGGCCATTCCGGTGTAAATATACAGTTATAAAAATATAAAGATGTGTCAGTAGAAATTATATGCACTTGTAAAACGCTTGAATTTATTTTTGAAAACTTAAAGTACAATTAGTTTGCGAGTGTACGAATCGCGAACCAGGGTCTGAGAGACATATAAAAAATTGTCTCCGGATGTACAGACTTTAAGTCATATTTCTATACATGTTACATATGTCATATACCTCTGTTTTCTTCTTTACGATGTATTCAGATGGTTCTATTACACAAGTAAAAGATTATGAAGGTTCAAAATAAATAATAAATAAAAATACCAATAATAGCATAGGCTAGCCTGTTATTATCCTGTTGAACGGTGGTTAATATAACACCCACTTCCCTTCTGGTTGTCGTCCTTCTACCCTCCCGCTATGTACACTGCAGAGTTCTATGCATATTTCCTAAAATCTGTGTTGTCGGATTAGAAGTAAAGATTATGAGGATTCAAGATATAGCCTGTTAACATCCCATCAAACGAAGAAACCCCCGGGAGACCCCCAAGATACCCGGTGTAAAAGGGTAGGCAAGGTTCTATCAAATTATGGTCATACCCTCCATTAAATTATGTGGTCATGGTATCCTAAATACTGGTACAATTCTTTCCCTAATTATCGTATACACAATCAGGGCCAGTAAGGGCCGTTAAGAAAGGGGACCATAATCCCCGGGGACCATCATTTCTTTCACACAGGTGTAAAAGGGTAGGAGGTCCTATCAAATTATGGTCCTATCAAATTATGGTCCTACTTACCATTGATTTATATGGTGACCTAAATACAACTCTTTCCCTTACTATCGTATCCACAATCAGGGCCAGTAAGGGCCTTTAAGAAAGGGGACCATTATCCCCAGGGGACCATAATTTCTTTTACACCGTATGAATATATTTATAACTTTGATACAAATATTAACAATGACTTACATCTTTTAAAGATGTCGCTAGTATTTATAGTGGCTTGGCAATTAAGGGGTTAATTTCTTCTAAAATTTATATGTGGTGATTCATGCAATTTGTGTATTGAGCTCGAAAGGGATGTCAAATTCAATTCCGATAATTTGAACTTCATAAACTCATGTCGAGTTCATGGCTGTGATACGAAGCATAACTTGTTGATTCATTGGATAGAATGCAATGATTAATAAATCATATATTTATATATCTGTCTGTAACTCTTAAAGAAGTTTTGACGTGGCATTTATTCGTAATCGGAAAAACTCCGCGCACCTGTTCCCTTTAAGTCACCGTTAGTTTACCGAAGAACAAGAGGAGCTCTTCCGAAGAACGGTGTTGGTGATGAGTGTTTTGAAGTCGGAGCTCGTCGATGGCTGAAATTCACTATGTATTCTCGGATAAACAAATGTTGGAATAACATTTTGAGTTTAAGAGTATATGGATTATCAGAATAAACATATTAGAAACTATAGAAAGGATTTGGAGGAAAGGATTCTGGAGGAATTTTGATGAGTTGCAGTCGACAAGATATATCAACAAAAATTTTTAACCATGGTGGTCATGGATGAAATGGAATATTTTGCAAACATACCTTTGAACAATGATTTCAGCCTGAATTATTGATGCATACAAATACAAACAATGTGACACAGATTTGGAAGAGTATTCACCTTGATTTTAATCGAAGTTTTAGTATTATTTAGCAACGTTTAAGTGAAATATTAGATTTTAGTTTTGGTATTTTTTATCCAATGCAGAGTGACAATGGGAGGTTTATCACAAACAGGGGCTTCCACATGCATTACATGTGCAGTAGTTGTGTTTTTATTGCTCTTGCACTGTACTTTGGCTCAAGAGCAACTGAGACAAGTGTTTTATGTTCCGGAGGGGGAACCATTGCACTCAACAATCGGCGTAATAACAACCTTGCCTCCTCCATTTATGATATTCTCCAATACAAATGCTGATGTCGATAGAGATTTAAACATCAATGAAAACTCAGGAGAGATAACCAACAAAAAGTTGTTGGATCGTGAATCTCGGCCATTTTATTCATTCCTTGCAGTTTCATATGCAAATGGAGAAACGGCGAAGATTGAAATAAACATTACTGATATCAATGACAATGTGCCTACTTTCTCTCCTCCCTTTTTGAAGATTGAACTTGCAGAGTCTACCCCAAGGGATGTAAAGATCTCTCTAGGCAGCGCCACAGACAATGATCGGGGAATTAACACTACCCAGAGATACGAAATAGCATCTGGGAATACAAACAATGCATTCAGGCTTAGTTCAAAACGTGCTAAAAATGGCATCTTGTATTTAGATCTAGAAATTAATGGCTACCTTGACTATGAAACAACACCATACTACACACTGATGATCCTTGCATATGATGGAGGATCTCCTCCTTTGATTGGGAATATGACTGTTGAAATCTCCATAGTAGACAGCAATGATAACCAACCCATATTCAACCAAAGTCGCTACTTTGCCCAAGTCCCTGAAGATGCTGAGGTTGAAAGAAGCGTTCTCCAAGTTTTTGCTTCAGATCTCGACCAAGGTGAAAATGGTCATATCCAATATAACATTGACTACCATCAAAGTAACCCATCTCAAGATGACTTTACCATTGATTCTACAAATGGTATAATATTTGTAAATCGTCAGTTAGACTTTGAAAAAGTGTCTATGTATGAACTGGTAGTCGTAGCCAGAGATAATGGCACCCAGCCTCTACAAACCACTGCTATCGTGTCAATCACAATTAAAGATAAGAATGACAATGAACCACAAATCAATATGCTATTTTTAACAGAAGATGGAACAGCAAAGATCTCAGAATTGGCTTCACCAGGAGATGCTGTTGCAAGAATCTCTGTCAGTGATCCTGATGTTGGAGAGTATTATGCCAATGTTAGCGTCTCAATCGAAGGTGGGAATGGTCATTTTGGGTTGATCACTCAAGATGATGTCATCTATCTTGTAGTTGTCTCCAAGCCACCTGACAGAGAAATCGCATCATTTTATGACATCACAGTTATTGCTCAGGATTCTGGGTCACCACCTCTCTATGCGAGAACAACATTTGAATTGAAGATTATTGACTCAAATGATAATGCACCTTCATTTTCTGAAGCAATCTACTATACTGATATTGCTGAGGTGGCTTCTCCCGGGTCATCTGTCTTTCAACTACATGCTGAAGACACTGACGAAGGGGACAATGCATTGATAACTTACCATTTGAAACATACCCCTGAGACGCACAGTGACTGGTTCAAAGTTGATGAAAACACTGGACTGATCACGACAGATTCTGAAATTGATTGCGAGACGAACTCCGAACCAAGGTTATATATTACTGCAATGGATTCTGGGAGTCCTAGACTCTCAGCCAATTGTACAGTGGTAGTGAGGATTCGGGATATCAACGATAATCAACCCATCTTTGACATGAGTTTTTACAACGTTACTGTAGATGAGAATGAGCCAGTTGACAACTGTATTTTAACGGTAAGTTTTGTTTTCCTTCTGTTGTGCCCTTCATATATTTGACAAAATGAAAACATACACAATTTTTTATAGTTTTAGAACAAATTAGATGTCTCATTGTAAATTGAATTCGCTTAGATATTTGTTACATTTTGATTTAATAGTAAGCCAGTTTTATTTTTTTATGACCCTTACATAGTGTTAACCCTTATTAAGAGACAAATTGTGGGAATTAACTGTATAAATGTCATAGCAATCCTGAAGTATCATTATCATCAACATCTATATTTGTGTTTTGCATGAATTTGAATGTGGTAACTGAATGTGTATACATGTTATACACTGGGGACAGGATCTGTCTAGCATTTGATATGAATAGAATTGGTACAAAAGCTTTAGAAAAATCCATAAGCTGTTTTGTATTTGTACTGAACCATTGTGCTTGAATAAATCATTGAAGGTTCGACTTTAAGAGGGTTACTTTTTATAATATATAAGTTTGAATTATTGTATTAGTAAACCCCTTGTATATTGGTTTATTTACTCAGGCTATGATTTCTTAAATTTGTTGCAGTTTATTTTACTGTGTTGAAATCCTGGAATTATTTGATATTATACATAAATGTAACATATGGTATATGGGCCAATTGATATGTAACATATACCCAAACATTTATGCCAGTTTTGCCAATTATAGTGTGGCAATAGCAAAAATTAACTGGTACATTTAGAATAATGGCCACTTTTACTGTAGTTTCAAGCAATTTCATTGTGCACCAAGGTAGAAAGATATTACAAATGCTCCATTAATTCTGCCAAGTGTTTCTTACAAGCTGTGTGTCATTCAAAAACAATCTAATTCCTAAAAACACTGATAATTTTACTTAATATTTTATTGAGTCAACATTGTTTCTGTTGTTGGGTTTTCACCAAAATCTCTCATTTTCAGTTTTTAAATGCCTGCTATGGATTTTTCCTTTGCTTTCCTAAGTGTTTTGTCACTTCATTTTTTCTATTTGTATCTACATGACCTAATTAATGTTGAAGCTCCTAAAATGATTAAAATGTTTTGGTATAACTCAGGTAAAGATATGAACAAGAGAGATTGGTTCAGTGTCACATCGT